GAGCTGCCCTCTGATGCTCAGGGCGCTCTCACGTGGGAGGAGCTCTGTTCAGCTACAAGCCAGGCAGATGGCTGCCAGTACAGTGGTGGTGGTAGGAGCCTCTCCTGCCTCCTCAGCAGCGCTAAGGATGTCCAACTGCAGTTTAGGCCTGCTCCCCGCTGGCAAGTGAACATCCCCTTAGGGCTGCCAGGCTGCCAGAGGGATGTCTGATTGCCATCTTAGGCCCAATCCCCTGGGGAGCGGGCCTAAGCCAGCAGGTGGTCATCCCCTGAGGGGTCCCAGACTGTGAGAGGGCCCTGGCCTGGCTGAGGGACCCCCCACCCCCACGAGTGCACAAATTTTTGTGCACCGGGCCTCTAGTATATATATAATTTTGGCTTTGTTTGGACCACTTAAAATGGTCATTTTCTACATCAAGTCACAAGTTAAAAATATCCACCATTGTTCTCCTATGCTTTGTCTTTAGTGCCCACCCTCTAAAATTTGAGTATGTAAATCAATTCTCAGATTACTCATATGGGAAAATATCACTCATAACAGTGTTCTGTTTTGTCATTACTAGTGACTTTCTGGAATGTCTATTTTCTGAATAAGAGAAACATATTGTGTGGAAAAGCAATTTATGCATGTTAATAGCACTTTACATTGTTTACAAATTTTAAATGCCAAATTTGCATTTAAATTTGAGTGATTCAAATTTAAGCAAATTCAGTAAGTTATACTATGAATCATCCAGTTTAGAAATACCTTAAAATTTCTGATTTGCAAGGAAATATGCCATCTTTTGTGGATTAATATTATTGGTGCATCCCTCTTAAAAACCTCCATCATTCCGTGGATTTTCAATCATTAGAGGCATTTGTGAAATAGTATCTCCTGAAAATTCTTCTCTGTACAAAGAATATTATCAAATTTATTTCCCAATTTTTAATCAAAGCTATATAAGCACATATTTTATAGAATCAACTATTCCTAGAAGGTTTGTTGACATAAACAGCATTGCCTACTATTGGCATATTACTTGCTTCTTTTCATCCAAGCTCTAACTGATATGGTTTTCACCTCCACTGTTTACATTATTTATTGATTTCCTGCTATAGAAGATAATTTGCTGGTAATTCACTTTTTCTTCTTCACCAGGCATGTACATTTTCTTCCCTGAATATCACACCCTCCTCTCAATACAGTTTCACTAAAAATTTGTTTATTTCAATATCGAGGGTTTAGATTACTATGACTATATAGTAAGGCAGACTTGAGTCATGTACTCAGCTATGACTGGTTTTCTTTCCGATACAACTTGCATTTCTGATCTTGCCTTTTCATTGCCCTGTTTCTCATGCAGAAAGACCAGTGCTGCCTGTCTGGCTCTATTTCTCTCTGCAGCATTTTGAACAATTCCTCCAGGGTTAGTGTGGTCTCAGTTCATGTGCTTTTTCTTCTCTTAAAATTCATAGCATAGTCCAGTGCTTTCAACTGTGTTTTTATACATTCCACTCCATTTTGATAATTTTTAAAGCAGTTGGATAAGTCCTCTACCTAGCTATCTTGTCTATTTGAGAAACTATTACATTTTTGACATTCTATTTCAGCCATTCCCTAATGAATCAGAAAATTTAATATCCTCTTAACTTTATACCTTCTTTCCTGCTACTATTCTGGTCTAGATTACCATTATCTCTCCCCTGGGATTCTTACTTAACTCCTATCTCCAGTTACTTCCAGGGCATGGCCTACGTGAAAGAGGTGTTGTAGAAACACAATTTATATTATGTCACTCTCCAGGTGAAAACTTTTTAATAGCTTCTCATTAACTTTATAATAAATATTTGACTACTTACAATGACCTATAAAATTTGGGATGATGTAAGCCTACTAAATGAGTTTCTATGCTCTTCTCTGTTCCTTCTTTATGCTTCAGCAGCATTGATATTTGCTTTTAATTTCCTGAAACTGCAAAGCTCTACCCATAGCGCTACTTTGGCACCATTCATCTTTATGGCCATGACATCATGCTCATCCTTCCCCCCTGACTTCTCTTATTTTAGGTGACAGCTTGCATGTTACTTCCTTAGTGGGCATTCCCAGATACCATAGAACTTCACCCTAAATCTCACAGTACCTGATCTTTTTATTCATGTCATATACTGAAATATGACCTTCTGCATGCATATAGGCACATGCTTTTGTCTAACATCCAAATTTCTACCACATGTAAGCCTCTTGAGGACAGCAATCATGTCTTTGTATATTTGTTTTATTTATTTTTCTATGCCTTCTACATGGTCTGTGGTAATGTAATAGGGCCTAAACAAATATTTATTAAATTTATGAATAAAGGAATTTTTAAAAATCAGCATTTGAAGGCTTCATAGAGAATCAAAATTTTCAGAATCTTAGAGAACTAGTACTGGAAGAAGCCATAAAGATTAACAATCTCCTCATCACGTCCTTGTAAAATCCCTCTGATAGCCTTACCTGCACTTAAATCATTCCTGTTAGGGAGTTCACTATACCATATGGAATTCTATTATTTTCAGACACTTCCTATTATGGAAAAATCTATTTCTTACATTGAATTGTTTTACTTATAATCTTATAGCAACAGTTCTCTCATTAGTCCAAAATAATTCTAAAACAATTACACATACATCTTCTTTCCTTTTGTGATATCTTCTGAAATGAAACCACTCAAAGTCACAATTGAAAATGAAAACTATTCTTCATTTCATTGAATGTTAAAGAATGGCATTTCATTTGGAAATGCTGTATCATCACTGGAATTCTTTAAGCTATACAGGGTGGGGCAAAAGTAGGTTTATAGCTGTGAGTACACAAAACAGAGTTTATTCTTGTATTATTTACTAATTATTATATTATTTTCCATACAGACAACTGTAAACCTACTTTTGCCCCACCCTGTATATTGGATTGATTTCATTATTCCTGTGCACAGGTAATGACCCATATTTGAATATACTGCAAATAAGAAATTTTTATTTCAGCCAAGTGAAAATAATACACATTAAAAAAACAAATTTATATGAAGTCTCCTATTTTAGCTAATCTTAGCAAAAATTAAATCTTTGGGTATATATATATATATATATATATATATATATATATATATAGTATATATGCATTAGAGTAAATGCAGTAACTGTTTTGAATGAGAAGATTCATATGTAACATGGAAAATCCAGTTACCCAGGTTAGCTGTATGTGTGTGTGGCTTAGAGTCATATCTATATTTTATATCACAGAACTATAATGTAATCAAAAGAGAAAATATGTTTGAAACCATTTAAGAAATGTGTAAGTGAAATGTTCTCCTACTCCCCACTGTAATCATGAACACTTTTAAAGAGCTAGTATACAGTTTTTCAAATAAAATGCATCACCACTTATAGACAGGTGCTTTCTTTTATATGCATGAAACAATCTGCAAAGTTGCATTATTCTGTTGTGGTTCTTTGGTCTCTATTTCTGAAACATTATCACCACTCTTCTTAGGGATGTAGATGTTTGCTTACACAGTGACCCACTTTCTCTTAGCTATTCTTTGGGACTATATTAGACACTTCTAAAATTGCATTAGATTTTATGGGTCACTCATACCATTAAATGAATTATTGTTTCAGCACAATAAATTACATTTTCCAAACTGCTGCCTATATAGAGCATCATTAATCTAGAAAAATGGAATGTTTGGTGCTGTAATTACATATCTGATCCTTTCAATATTCTGGCTAAATAAAAAATATAAACCAAATGTGATATAATGGTGTTTTAGACATTACACTGACATCTAATAAGAAAAAAAAGTTATCAAAATGATAACAAGTGTTGGCAAGGATTTGGAGAAAACGGGAACCCTTGTGCACTATCTGTGGGATTGCTAATTGGTACAGTCATTGTGGTAAACAGTATGGAGATTCCTCAAAAAATTAAAAATGAAACCACCAAATGACCCAACAATTCTACTTCTGGGTATCTATCTGAAGAAAATGAAAATATTGATAATTTAAGAGACACGCCTAATAAAATAGAAACTCTGAGTTGAAAGGTGAGGAAGCTAATAATTTGTGTCCTATTTTATCAATCTATTATAATAAAAGCATACTATGCAAATAGACTGAACGGCCCTCTGGACGTCCTTCCAGATAACCTTCTGGACAAAGCCGGGGCTGCAGCCATGGGATCGAGGCAGCTCCCCCAGCTGTGAGGAAGGGATCGAGGCAGCTGCTGCAGCTGCAAAAACCTACTCGTGCATGAATTTCGTGCATCAGGCCTCTAGTAGTCTCATAAAAAGATACCTTTATTTCCACTGCTATTAAGGCATTAACCTACTTCTATCATATGGCATTCATGAAATAAACAAATTTGTAATTGGCACCTATTCTGTTGCAGATGCTGTATTCTGCTGGAAACAGATTAGACAGACAAACATGTTCATGATGCTTGGGTGTGATTCCGTGTGTGTCGGGGGGTGGGCAGAGGAGTAAAAATAGATGGAAATGTTATTAAAATTGCATTTTGAATGCTCAACAAAGAAAAAAACCCACAGGAAATGTCAGGATGCTGCATAAACAATAGTGGGCTATTTGGGGCTACTTTATGGTTTACATTTTTGGTAATAATACATAGACTATCATGGCTAAAAACTATAGTTTAACCAAGACATCTCAAGAGCTCCAAAAAGCTTCAAAAAATCCCTTCCCAGGATCTTGGTTTGGAAATGGGGAAGTTTTCATATGCAAATAATTTGATAAATGCAGACCACTCACTCAGATCACCCTTGTCTCACTGCCAATCTTGTTTTCCTCCATGAATCCCTTAGCTTAATGGAAGGCCACGCCCCAATTACATCCATAGTTTTCAACCTCTCTTAAATTTAATATAGTGTATTTCTTCCCCTCTGTTTCCTTACTTTGCGCTTCTGTTATTGCCAAAACATTTCACTGCTTTTCATTGTTAAATCTTGTCCATGCCATTTGCAGTTTATGTCCTACTCCAAGTGATCATTGAAGGGAGATTGCTGAGGACACATAGAGCTGGAGGCTCACCTGATTCTTGTTGACTCACTGCTTCCTGATTTCTTCCAGGCATCGCCTCAGAGCCACCTGGACTTGTGGTGATATACTTCTATAATTCTGATTTAATTTTGCTTATGGGAAATTATGCAAGTGCAGGAGCTCTATGCCCTTTTACTGAAATAATTATTTTTCAAATCCCCTGAAAGCAGTTACATAATTCAAGAGAAGCAAAACATTCATTCCAGGACTAGTAAAATGTTCATCACAAAATTTTTTTTTGAAAAGTGATTTTTTTTACTTAACATGCTTCTTCTTCTGTAAAGAAAAATATAGTGTTTATGTTCAGAATAATGAAGCAAGAAAATATTCCAGACACTTATATACTATGCTGGACAAGATAAAGATGTTTTATTTCTGTCCTTAACTACATTATTGCAGTTAGACATTCTGACAGCTTTTTATTATGGGTGGGAATCTGCTCAGGTCTTTTCATTTCTTCAGAAGACAAGCTCCCTATCTGTAAGGAAATTACTTTGTCATAACTGAGCCTACAGAAGCTGTTTTCAGGGAGGGAGAGGGAGAAAGAGAAGGAGGGAGGCAGGGAGGGAGGGAGGGAGGGAGGGAGGGAGAGAGAGAGAGAGAGAGAGAGAGAGAGAGAGAGAGAGAGAGAGAGAGAGAGAAAGAACACTAGAGAAATCTTCCAGTTCAAACCAGAGGAAACAAGCTCGTGGATGTCCTATTAGAACATAGGATCTCATTGTTAATGTTTATGAACTCAGCCTTCCAGAATCACTTGTGTTACTACTGAGCCCTTTTCCAGTTTTATTTTCTTGGTCTAAAATATATAACCTTAACATCAGAAAAACTTAAAACATTTTACCATTTCTTATATCAAAACGTGCTGTTTACTTGGAGTGTTAAAAAATCTAGTGGCAATATGAATAGATTTGTCTTTAAAGATTAGTAAAGAAAAAGGTGAAAATGATAAAACAGTATCATTAAAAATGCATCATTTTTCCTTTTCCTTGATTTTGCTTGTTTTTATTCTGCAGCAGGAAGGGTAGCAGCAGGCAGGAATTATACCCCTTTTCATTTTCCTTCGTCTTTCATTCTTGAAAATACAGTCAGGCCCACTTCTATTACCACAGACTGGGTAGCTTATAAACAACAACAAAAACCATTTATTTGTCACAGTTCTGGTTGCTGGATGTCTGAGGTCAGGGTGCCAGCATGACCAGGTGAGGCCCTCTTTCAAAGGCAGACTTCTCTTTGTGTCCTTTCATGGTGGAAGGGACTAGGGAACTCTGTAGGGTCTCTTATAAGGGCACTAATCTTAATCATGGGGGTTCCACCCGTAGGACCTAATCACCTCCCAAAGGTCACACCTTCTAACACTATCACATTGGGCCCAGGATTCTCATGTGAGTTTTTAGGAACACACGGAGGTCACAGCAGGGTCCTCCCTAAATCTGGGCCTTCCTTGTTCTGCTCTCTTACCTTGCAGCACAAGTTTTAAACAGAGAGATATCTGAAAGTCTGCGCAATGTAATCTAAGTTAAATATAACTATCATTGAGATGCCCACACAGAGATGTCCAAAGTGGGAGCCAAGCTTTGTAGGTTCTGACACCAATGACCACACACATAGCATTCTTCCACCATTCCGGCTGAGCCCACTGCAGCCGGCCAGGGCCCCCGCCCAAGGCCTCCTAGTTGTACTCCGTGTATTTAGGATAGAAAAATCAGTTCCATTAGCCTGCTTGTATGTACTGGGAAGATCATATTTTGTTCTGACAGGTGATTTTAGAGAGAGAAAAAATCCAAAGTGAGATTTATCTACAAACTATATGATTATGAATTAATATATTCAGCAATATCCCTTAGGTTATCTGTGCAAGATTACCAGTCAGGAAATATTGTCTAGATGGGGATAATAGTTGTTCCCATGAGCACATATATGCTAAAGCTACAGCAAAATTCAGTTTTACCTCGACTCAAAAGGCCATAAAGGGAAGAAATGATACCTCCGCCTACGTTACTACTAATATCTTGGCTATGTAAGTGCACTAATGATCATTTTTCTTTCTCTTATTTTAGATGATGACTAAGGCAATGAGACTGTCATCCTGTGAAGTTTAGAAATGAAATACAAAGGCTTACATACTGTTCATTTTGTGATTGCCACCCTGGCTGTTGTTGTCTGCCCTATGGAATAGCAACCTTCCCAGCCTTACCATTTGTAGATCCTGATTGTCAAATAATGTCATTCTTCTATGCAAAGATTTTCCTCTTTCCAGATAGCCTAAGCATTTTGGTGAAGTTATGGTTAATTACATATTGAGTTTTTCCTATCTGTATGTCTCATGATTTATATTCGTGTCTCAAAAATTAACTTTATTGTTACTATTGGATCGCATTTTCTATCCTATTTTTTGTAAAGTACCATGATTCTATCACATTCAATTATTTCAATCATCTTTTTCTGCTCAGTGTCCTATTTCATATGGCATGTCACATTTATAAACTATTTAAATGATTTTAAGCATATTCTTATATTGCTTTGAAAGCAGAATGTGTTTGTCTCTCTGTGTGTGTGTGTGTGTAGACATATATAATTATACAATGGAGATTCAGTTTCCAGGTCACTGTGTTCCCACTGGATCATGTGATGCTGAGTTGAGTTGGCCCAGAGATGTTTCTGGAAATTGTCTTCAGTTATGTACGTCAAATATAAACATAAAACTCACTGTAGGCTTTTAATATTCTACTAGAAAGACACACAAAATTTTGTTTATATGGCAAGGCTTAGGAACACAGCTTCTTATTAAGAGTTTGCCTGGAGACCATGTTTAGCCCTCTATATACTTTTCACACTGGCCATAGGTATGATAAACCTGTATAGTCAGGTGGCCTGATCACATAACAATACCACTTTCCAATAAATTAAAAAAAAAAAATCCACCCTTATTTCTTTCTGTGTGCCGTGTACCATACTTGGTGGGAGTCATGGATGAGGCTGCCATTGATATCATGAAGATAGACAAAGGTCCACACCTATTTTGAAACTTATCCAGTTACAGATGGGTACACCATTGTGGTCTGACTCAAGCCCATGTCTTCTGTATCCTATAGCTCATTTACATCCACTCAGTTACACTACAGCTCTGGGCCCGCATACAAAGATGTTGCCATATTTGAAGGAGAATAGGGGAAGTCTGATACTCAATTTTATTTTCACGAGAGGTGCCCCTATGACATTGTAAACACTGAATTAAATAAATCTACTTTTGAATTAGAATATTTTATAATTATTGCAAACATCTTGTCATAGAACTTATTCTCAATTAGAAGTAGACTTGGGTTCTTACCTAGGACTTGGTTTATGTTTCACTATTAAACCTACAAAATTTACATTTTATATTTAAATCTACAAAATTCACATAGTCTGTCAACACTGATATTTCATAATGATTTTTCTAGCTTCTGATTTTTTACTATTACAATATAAACAACATAGACTTCATTTTTACAACTAGTAATTTTAACAAGTGTATTTTATCATCCTATATACCCTGTTTATCTTTGGTGGTTTGTATTTTAAAAATTTTATATTCCTTACCATTTTATAGGACATCTGTTTAAAAGCTTAGGGTTTTAACAAAGGAAGTTACATTAAGTAAATGGGGTTTTAATAGAACTTAGCAAAAAATTCAAAATTATATTCTATTTACATTTAGCTAATATAAATCCTCTCTTTTCTATGGTAATCAGTGACTTGCTATTTTCAATACCAACATGAAACCCCTGTTAATGTTATCAATACCCTCACACACATTGAATAAAAACTAAGTATAAATTTTTTAAAAATTAAAAATAAAGGTTATTCTAATAGTCTCATAACTGTACCACATTTTCTCTAGTAAACAGGACATAAAGGCGGTATAGATTTGGGAGCCCAATGTCATGGTTTATTTCTTACAAGATGTGTGATTTTGAACAGTTAACCTTAACTTCTGCTTCTATAACATGGATATCATATCCACTACATCAAATTATTTTGACAGTAAAATATGTTGAAAATATACAAAATTTGGTATAATTGCTAGGACACTGAAGAAATCCAATATATTTAGTTTACTACTCCGTATTAATTATTTTGAGGACAAATACCGCTCATATCTCAGCCAAAAGCTGGGAAAAATATTTGAAACATTTTATGGAGTTATGGTAGTTTTTAAGGTCTTGGCTTTTAGAATATACCTATATAACTATACTTTAAAGCATTCATGGTCTCTTACTGAGTTCAAGTCTATATTTATAAAACAGTGTTTCTATTTTTTTAAAAAAACAACTAACTATAATGATCTGGCCAACATATTGACTTATATATAAGCAGGTTTAATTTTTTTTTAATTCAGACCCCATGATATTTTCCATTGCTTTTAGATAGAGTGGAAGGGAGCTGGGGGAGGGGTAGAGAGGGGAAAAGAGAAACATCCATGTGAGAAAGACACATAGATTGGTTGCCTCCCACACTTACCCCCATCAGGCCAGGGATTGAGACTGCAACCCAGGTACATGCCCTTGACTGGAATCAAACCCTTAACCCTTTGGTGCTAGGGCTGATGCTCTAATCACTAAACAAACTGGCACAGGTTTAATTTTTAATTCTTCAAATGGAGGAACTTTCACAGGGAGGTAAGTAAAGTAAAATAGAAGTATTACATGGCATATATTACCAAAATACATGTAAGGCTTCTATATCTATGAAAGAATCAATATTGGTGATATAAAACAGTAAGAAATTAAAATCAAATTTGCATGAGGTTTGTCTCCAGTCACTGTGTGACCTGTTATAGCTTCCCACAGCAGACTACCTAAAAGTATGTAGAAAACAAAATCATTTGTTTGCCAGGTGCATTCTTGCTGAATCAGCCAACTTGGTATTATGCCAATTTTTACTATTTCTCAAGAAGGGAATATATCCCTGAATAAAATGTTAGTAATGTTTAAAGGGATAGTCTTAATCAAAATTTTAAAGCTGAGATATTTTGCCACAAAAATGAATATAAATAAGAAGAGAGAAATGTGAACTTTAATAAACAAACACTTTTGACATTACAGGATAATTTTTAACCCAAAGAGATTATTATGTTATGGAATTATTATATGCTGACAACACAAAATAAATAAAATGTGTGTGTTTCAGAGGAAGTAGTCAGGAAAAACCACAAATGAAAATGATGTCTTGTTAGTCGTTGGGGGATTTGGAGATGGGGAGACAGTTGCTAGGTAAGCAAGGTTGGTACAAGGCATTGGAGAGAGAGGAAGTACATCGATTTGTTGGGAAGAGTGTACAGATTCGTAGGAGGCTCTCACACTGAGAAATCACAGTAGGGACATTCTTTAACTATTTGATCCTACATTCCTTCATCTACAGAATTAGGTTAATAACAGTTTTAATGTTACCACCAAGTCAATAAAAGCAAAGACTGTAAAACGTATCTTGAATTTTAGATGCTGTATCAGGTGCTTTCTTTTTAATCTCATACAATATCATAATTTTCAGTAAACAGATTTAGTGGGTTGAAGTAACAGTAGGAAACTTGGTGCCCTATGCTCTAACAATCAACACATTTATTCCCTAGATAACAATTTTTAAGAAGAAGCAAATATGTTGGAGTAAGTCTGACCTGGATTTGAATCCTGACTCTTCCTTTACTTATGGGACTTGGAGAAATAACCTAAAACTTTATTAAGCTTCTGATTTCTCACCCTAAACATGTAGACTAGTTTGGCCCATTATTTCTTTTCAATAAATATTAGCTCTACATATATATATATATATATATATATATATATATATATATATATATATATATATATTATGCTAAGTGTCTGACCAGTCCACTGTTCAGTCAACCGTTCAACCAGTCGCTATGATGTGCAATGACCACCATGGGGCAGATGCTCCGACTGGTAGGTTATCTTGCTTCTGGGATCCAGCCGATCAGGACTGGGCGAGACAGGCAGGACATGCCCTGGAGCCCTCCTGTGGTCCATCCCTGGCTGGCCAACCTCCCGTGGTCCCTCCCCAGACAGCCAACCTCCCACAGTGCCTTCCTGGCTGGCTCCCATCGGCCATAATCAGCCCCAATTGCCAGCCAGTGCACCCACCTGTGCACAAATTCATGCACTGGGTCTCTAGTTGTTAATATTGAAAGAAATGTATTATCTAAGTGTATAATTAACAGATATGCATAGACCCTGTCCCTGTTTACTGTGAGAGCTTGTGCCCGACTCTCTTGTGTATGGCATAAATAATGAAGTCAGCCTATCAAAAAGACCTAGAAATATGTTGGCTGGAATCACTGTGTTCTAGACACTTATTTGAGTTTCCTTGATAAGAGAGAAGATACACAGATGTGTAAGTTTCAATCACAGAGCAGCAGCTCTGACATGAGAGAGAATGACACACCACAGAGCAATAGATGATTGTGTGTCAAATACATGGAATGACTATTGTTACCAGAAGTTCAAAATAGCATGGAGGTGAGCTTGGGCCTTGTACTTCAATGTCAAAAAGTTTTGGATAAAGAAAATGATGGGACCATTAGCAAAGACATGAGGAGAGAATGCATAAGGCATGACAAGGGACAAAAGACAGTTTCAGTGTGGTGTTGGGGCAACAGTAGGGCATGCTTTCAGATGGACAGAAATTGAAGGCAGGTAGTGGAAGTCATAGGTCATTCTGCTTTTAAGCTTGGGCTGGGCATCCCTCAGAAGCTTCTATGAAGAGGAAAGGAATGTCGCCTCCTAAAAAAAAAAAAAAAAAAAAAAAAAAAAAAAAAAAAAAGGCAAGCTGGAATGGTTTCCAGTCTGGTCTGCCCTAGTCCTAAAATATTAAAAAGTTGCAACTAACTCCTTTCAGATCTGGGGCTATTCTGCACATTTCCGAGGTGTTCTAAGTATCACCAGAAGATACCTTTCTGCTGGTTCAAATGAAAGCTGTTCAGCTGCAAAAATGCAGCTCCTATTATCTGTCTTAGAATGAAATGAAAAGACTGTACCAATATGAAATTAGATTTCCAAAGCATAAATTAAAATAATTTTGAAATAAAATGTATCTCAAATTAGTGCTTGGAAACAGTTGTCCATTTAATTTTCATGACTTGAGAAAACTGTACCAATGTCAAGTGTACGGCATCTATTAAGAAGTTCCTTCATTTTTGTTAAACCCTGCCAAAGAAAAGCATCATCAGATTTGTTTTTCATGATCTGCCCATGAAGAAGAAAAAATTTTGAAGTAGTGTCCTTCAGCTTTTGTTATTGAATGAGATGGAGAGAAGAAAGATTAGTGCCAGATCTGTCCCAAAGTTACAATTCAGAAGTCACTTAACCTTGTTAAAAGGAAGAAAGAGACAGAAACTCCAAGACACATGAGAACAAAGGCCACATCATCTTGTTTATCACATTTTCAATGATAAGCATGATGCCCAGCTCACAAGAAGCAATAATAATACATGGAACACGTAGC